CGCCTCTGCGCTCACGCTTTTGACAACACCTCCCGCAGCCACGCTGTCACACACGGAAATGCCACACAGCCCCTGCGAGTGGGGGTCACACAAGCCTGATGCACCCCCCGGGTTCCCCCAGCGCACCTCAGCCCCCCCAGGACAGTGGTGACAGTGGGGATCATGCTGACCGGCTCAATCCTGAGTGCGGTGCCAGCCCCATGTCATCATCCCCCCACCGCGTCCAGGGTGTGTCCCCAGCTGTCCCCGGGTCCCCAGCTGAGGCAAACCAGGACAGGGTAGCTCAGCCCTGGCGACCCAGTGTTCCAGCCGCCGGCCAGCTCATAGGCGCCTGGACTCACGGGAGGGACAGTGGGACAGCACCCCACCCTGAACCTGTTCCCAACCCAGCAGCCGGAGACAGGGTGGCGGCCATGGAGCACTGGCCTGTCACACCACGGCCACTGTCCCCATGCTGAGGTGGCCAGGCACACCAGGCACCCTGGGGGATCACTTAGGACACCCCTGGGCTCAGGTGGGGGACAGGGACAGGCAGGAACCCCTCCCCTCTGCAGTTGGTGCTTGGTGTGGGGGTGCTAATGGACTGGCAGCTGTTGGCAGTGGGCGCCAGCCCCCCCATGAATATTCATCAGCTGGGTTGCCTGAACCTGTGGGGAGCCCAGCTCCCAGGCAGCTGGGTGTCCCCTCCTGTGCCAGGAGCCCTCAGGTGGGGGGGCTCAGCAAGCCAGGCTTCCCCCTCAACATAGCCCCGCCACCGCCAACCCAACGCCCGCCCCAGGCACACACACCACAACACATGAACCCACAACGAAACGTGCCACCACACCCTCACCCTCCAGCCGCTCACACACACGCATGCACACAGGCATGAAAACACACGAACCCACAATCGCAAGCACAGTGCAGACCACAGACACCCACCATGGGGCTGTCTCCCACACGGGGTGACAAGCACACTCGCACCCAGACCAGACAGCCAACACACGCACTCACAGCCAGCCACAGGCATGCAAACAGGCCGGGCACCACGCGGCCGCAAGACCACAAACAGATACACCATCACACACAGGCAGGAAAACACCCCCACACCTCTGTCCCAACACAGGGGCAAACACCCACAAACCACAACCAACGACTTCCCATAAATTACCCACACGCGCATGCAAATGTCACCCACAAAACCATCCACAGACCCCCGGCACACAGCTGCACTCCGTCTCTGTCTCTCTGTCTCTCTGTTTCTCTGTCTGTCTGCTTGTCTCTCTCTCTCTCACACACACAAGCACACACACACACACACACACACACACACACACTGACATTTCACAGGAAGGGAAACTGAGGCCCTGAGGGACTGAAACAGGCCTGGCCCTGCAGACTGCGGGCCAGGGCTGCGGCAGACCGCCCCCTGCTGGCAGTTCCCGGGAGCGCCACGGTGGCGCGCCGAGGCGGGCACGCGCCCGGCGTAACCATGGCAACCCCCTGGCACGCGGAGGGCGGAGCGGCGCGTTGTCATGGCGCCGGCGGCCGCGTGAATGGGGTATTGTTTGTCGTGGCGCCCTAGTCCCGCTGTCCCGGACCCACCCAGACCCACCCCGGCCCAGCCGGGCTGAGACGGAAAGATGGGGTGGGGGGAAGATTTAGGGATGGGAGAGGAGGAGGGAAGGGGGGAAATGAGACATGGAAGGGGGACAGAGGCGGGACAGAGCAGAACCGGAGGGACAAGGGGACAAGGGAGTCCTCGCAGGGTCTGGCCCCACCCTTAGACCTGCCCTTCGCCCTCCCCCAAACACCTGCTCTTCACATTACACCCAATGGATGACAAGATTCGGGAGATGCAGGTTTTGGAGTACAATGCCCTGGCTCCTCTGAAGCAGGGTGACCCCTATAAAGAATGCATTGGGCCCTCAGGGGTCCCTGACAGCCACAAGTGTGGGGGCAGGGATCCCACACTGACACTCCATTCTGCCCAAACGTGCCAACCAGCGGGGTGAAGCAGACGGGGTGGTCTGAGTCCCTCCTGACCATACCCTCGCGGGAACACGTCCCGCAGGGGGCCCCCAGATGCCGGCACCCTCTCCTACACACTGACACTTCGGTGCAGGCGTTTGTGCGTTTTGGATTTGGGCTGCACCCCGGGGTGCTCAGGGCTCCTCCCAGCTATGCTACGGGGGACAGAGCAGGCGGTGCTGGGGGTCGGACTCGCGGTCCCCCGTGCTGAGACGAGCACTCCAGCGTGAGTCTGTCCCCCACCCCCCACTGATGCCTTTCCTACCTTGAACCTCGCGCCCCATAAACACATGATTAGTGGTATCTGGGAGCAGTGAGTCTAGATGTCTGTGCTGACGGGCAGACATCACTAGTAGAGACTGGGGCGGGGTGGGGGGGGGCGAAGAAAAGGAAGAAGTCCCCCACCCCACCCCATCCCAGTCAGGATGGTCCTGAAACTCCCGTCTGGGGCAGTTTGACCCAAATCTGGACCAAGGGTGCCCCCTGGTGGCCATGAGTCGTTTTTGCAGACATGGGGGCGCACAGGCGGGTGGGCAGGGGCGGAGCCTGACCGGAAGGACAAGAGGGGACAGAGTCAAAAGCCCAGGGGCGAAGGTCTGGGAAAGGGGTTCCCAAACAAACAAACAAACAAACAAACAAAAATACGATTCCCAGTCACCTCGATCTAGAATCCAGAATCCAGGTTCTAGAACTCAGCCCCTGGCATCTAAACGCCAAGTCTGTGACCTGAGCCACAGCACAGCGGGGAGAGCGTTTGCCTTGCCCGCAGCTGACTTGGATTCAATCCTCGGCATCCCAGAGGGTCCCCGAGCAATTCCTGAGTGCAGAGCCAGGAGTCTGCCCTGAGCACCTCTGAGTGTGACCCTAAAACCTAAATAAATAGGGCTGGAGCGACAGTGCTGGTGTTCAGGGGCTTCAGGGAAAGTGACTCCATTCCCTCCACAGCATGCCCCCCCTTCCAGCAGGAGACATTCCCTGAGCACTGCCGGGTGCGACGACCCAAACAGAACAAATAAAATCTTACTCCAAAGGACCAGAATTGAATGGGGGTAGGAGGGCTCAGGAGCCCAAAACCATCCTCTGCCTGCCCGACACACCCCAGGCCAGAGGAGAGGGTGCTGAGTGTCCACACACAGCCTTCCGGTTACCCACACTCCCTTCAATGGCATGTTATGGTACCCCAGATCTACACAGCCAGGTCTACCCTCCACCCAGTGCCCAAAACCATCAGTCACTCCATACGACCCAGAACCCACACACTCCTCTCTCGGGGGGACACAGGAGCCTACACGCTCACCCGTGCACCCCCACAGCTTAACGCAGGGGACCCCCCTCCCGAGGTCCTGCCACGCCGACAGCCGCTACACAGCCACCACACGCAGGCAGAGACAAAAAACCCTCCAGAAGGCTGATGTGGCGTGCACGCGCACGCATGCCAGACGCGCATGCGCACGCACACGAGCACGCGCGCTCCCCCTTCATCTCAGAGAAGCCCCGTGTCTTGGCAGCCGTGCAGCCCCAGGGAACGGGACCCCCGGGACGGGCCTCTCCGTGCGCGCGCACTCCCTCCCCCGCCTGGCCGGCTGGCGGGCTTTAATACAGATGCCAAACTCATAATTGTAACTGAGGGTGACAGGGTCACCTTCAGCCCCAGATGCTCGCGCGGTGGCAGATGGCGTTGGCAAACCTGATTAGCAGCCCCCGTGCCAGCGCCTGTGGCACCTGCACCCCCCGCCCCCCCAATCCTCATTACCCAACCATTACCGGGCCTGGGGGGACAGGGTGGGGGCCGGCTGGCACTGCCCGGGAGGGAGCAGGGACTCCGGGGCCCCCCTGGCACCGAGGTTCCCAGCTGGCTTCCCGGCTGGCAGGAGGTGGGCACAGCTGATGGGAGGAGCAGGAGCCTCCTGTCTGCCAGAGAGGGGGTGCCCGCAATGCCCACTCGGACGCAGCCTGGGGTTTGGCACCGACCCTGGAGTGAGGGGGAGGGGCCCGCACCCCGCGCCCCTGGCGACCCCCGCCCCTTCTGTTCCCATCCCTCCGGCAAGCCTCTGGGGTCAGAGGTCATGGTCTCCCACGCCCCCTGCGGGCCCATCTGTTTCCTCCATCCCTTCCAGCGCCCCTCACCTGGGGCCTCCTTCCTGTGGCAGGAAGAGGGCTGAGGGCCCCCCACAGCCGGCCAGCACCCCCCCACCGCGCTCCGGGGGGCAACTGGAGGCGGCCAACAGCACCACATGGCCGCGGTTCACTGCCAGACAGGCCCATCTGCTACTGCCCCGGTTCCAGCCGCCCAGCCAGGCCGCGCTCCCCACTGCACCCTGGGCCTGGCCAGGAGTCGCCCCGCCGCCCACCCCACCCTCTGGCGCAGAACACGGAGCACGCGGGGCTGAGCCAGGTCAAGCTTTATGCTTCACGCAGAGTGCGGGGTGGGGGGTACAGGTCCCTGGGGTGTTCCTCAGGGCCCCTGGGGTGGGCTTGCCATGTGTCCCCCATTTGGGCTCATCTGGCCTCCCTGGCTGGGTCCTTGGGGCCCCTGGGTCGGAGCTGCCCTGCGTCTGCCCAATTGAGGGAGCTTCTGTGCCCCCCGTCTGTTTCTCGGGGTCTCTGGATCAGAGTTACCCCACGTCTCCAAGTCTGGGGCAAGGAAATCTTTGACTCTCTAAAAACGGGGTTGAGCTGGTGGTAGAAGGTGGAGACTGATCTCTCAGGTTCCGGCACACCTACGCACCTCTGCCCTTTCCTCCTCCAGAGACGGGAGCCCTTGACTCCGCTTTTTCGAACCTCAGTTTCCCCCTCTGTAAATGGGGTGACCCACTCCTCCCCCTTACAAGGCGAGTCATGCGCCGTCCAATGCTGAGCGCCGGGCCAGGAGGGCACCCTGGGCGGGGGATCCTCTGAGTCGGGGCCCCCCAACCACGGCCCCCCGGGGACGGGGCGCGCCACTGGCGCGGCAGTGCGGGCGGGGGCACGGGCGGGGAGAGTTTCCGGCTTCGGGGCGTGCACGGGGCGTGTCTCGTCTCGGCTCAGGCGCTGGGGGCGCAGCGACACCCCTGCACCAGCACGACGTGCGTTTTCACTCGCCGGCGGGAGCCCGGGGAGCCCGTCCCGCAGCGCAGCACGAGCGGGGCGCGGCGTTGGCGCGCGGGGCGGCAGCGGCTGCAGAGCGCGCGGGGCGCGGGGCCCGGGCCGGGCACGTAGAGCGACGCGCAGCGGCCGAAGCAGAGACGGTTGCGGACGCGGACGGGCGCGCAGCCGGGCCGGGACAGCACCTGGGGGCACACGGGAACACCGGGCGTCAGGGGCGGCGGGATCGGTTGACCCCGGGGCGGTACTCGCACGGGGCCCAGTCGAACCCCAAGTCTGCCCTCTGCTGGCGGCGGGACGCACGGCCGGTTCACCCGGCTCGCGGGGGCGGGGAGGATGCTGTGCTCGGAACCCCCCCACCTCCTGAAAATCTCAGGTAGGACTAGGCCACCCAGGATGGATATGGGGCTGTCCGGCTCCCCCAAAGAGAGTGGGGGCGATGGGGGGGCGGGGACCTTTGACAAAAAGCCCTTAGCCCAAGACAGTATTTGGAGAAGGAATTAAAGGAGAGCTCGCAAGAGTTAAATACCCGTGCCTTGCATGTTCCCCATCGGGGTTTGATCCCCAGCGCCCCATATGGTCGTGTGTGTCACCCCTCCCACACACAGGCCTGCCGGCAGTGATCTCTGAGCACAGAATCAGGAGTAAGGGCTGAGCACAACCGGGTGTGTCCCCAAACACAGTAATAATTCTAAAAAAATTCTTTTAAAAAGAGAAAAGAGGGGGGCTGGAGTGATAGCACAGCAGGTAGGGCGTTTGCCTTGCATGCAGCCAACCTGGGCTCGATTCCCAGCATCCCATATGGTCCCCTGAGCACCACCAGGAGTAAATCCTGAGTGCAGAACCAGGAGTACTTACCCCTGAGCATCACCGGGTGTGACCCAAAAAGCAAAAAATTAAATAAATAAAAATAAATAAAGAGAAAAGCTGGAGTGATAGCACAGCGGTAGGGCGTTTGCCTTGCATGCAGCCAACATGGCCGACTTGAGTTCGATTCCTCCGCCCCTCTCGGAGAGCCCTGCAAGCTACCGAGAGTATCTCGCCCGCACGGCAGAGCCTGGCAAGCTCCCTGTGACGTATTCGATATGCCAGACACAGTAACAACAAAGTCTCCAATGGAGACGTTACTGGGCCCGCTCGAGCAAAAGAGAAAAGAGGGGTCTGGAGCGATAGTTCAGTGGGGAGGGCACTTGCTTTGCGTGCTGCCAACCAGGGTTTGGGCCTGCATCACCAGGAGTAATTCCTGGGTACAGAGCCGGGAATAACCCCTGAGCGTCACCAGTGTGGCCTCCCACAGAAGAAGGAAGGAAGGGGCTGGGGTGAGAGTACAGGGTGGGGGCACTTGCCTTGCATGTGGCTGGCCCAGGTTTGATCCCCGGTATACCAGATATATACTGGGGGAGCTCACCAGGCGTGAATACTGAGCACAGAGTCAGGAGCAGGCCCTGAGCATCACCAGGTGTGGCTCCGAAGCAAAAACAAACAAACAACAAATAAAGGAAAAGAAAAAAAAAAGGTTGGAGAGACCCTCAGAGGCCCTAGCAGGTGCCTGCGTGGTGTGAGTGAAGCCTGAGTTTGGTTTTTGGCTTTGTTTGTTTTTTATGATGTTCTTTCTTCGCTAAGTGTTTTCTGTGATGCCTGGAGAGGGGGTGGGGGGTCTGGGAAGGAAGCAGAAAGAGAATTAGAGACATTTAGCCAAGAAATTGGGGGCAGCCAGGTCCATGGGCACCCCGCCCTCTCCTCCCTGCTACCCAGCCTCACCTGCGTGAAAGGGACGGCTCGGCAGTGCTCCCGGAGCACCTCCCGCGGGCTCAGAGGTAGAGGCATGGGGCTGGGCCCCTGCTGCAAGGCCAGGAACACCTCCCAGCTGTGCTCAGCCCAGGGTGCTCCCTGGGGCTGGGAGGTCTGATTGACGGCTGCCCCAGGCGGGGCTGGGGGACCCCAGGGTCCAGGTCTCCCCAGGCCGGGGGGCAGCCAGATAACACTGAGCAGTCGCAGGAGAGGGGCCAGCCGGCTGAGAAGCATCTGTCCGTTTGTCTTTCTGTCAGCTGGGATTAGCACAGGGTCCTGGATAGCAACCCTGCTGTCGGGGGTGGAATCGAGGCCTTCACTCAGGCTTATTTTAAGGGCTCCCCCTTCTGTATCTTCCTCCCTGGCCGCCCAGGAGAGACCCCTGGACCCCCCACAGGAGAGAGCAAACACCTAAGTAGGCTCTCACCCCTCTCCCAGCCAGAGGGGGGTGGGGCCTGGGTGTGGGTCTAATATGATCAGCAGTTTCTAGAGCGGGGACCCAAGGAGCTTCCTTAGGGGCTATGTGAGTCGCGGAGGTTCATCCCATGTGCAAAAGTAGACTCTGCATGGGGCTGGGGCGATAGCACAGCGGGTAGGGTGTTTGTCTTGCATGTGGCCAACCCAGGTTCAATTCCCAGCATCCCATATGGGTCCCCCGAGCACCACCAGGAGTGATTCCTGAGTGCAGAACCAGGAGTCAGCCCTGAGCATCACCTGGTGTGACCCAAAAAGCCAAAAAAAAAAAAAAAAATAGACTCCAGCAGCCAGACACTTGTTAGTTGGTTCCCAGGTTTGCAGCTTCCTGCTGTGCCTTCAGCTGCCCTGCCCCGGACTGATACCAGAGGCTACTCAGCAGCAGCGCTGCAGCCAGTTGGGATGAATGGGCTGTGGGAACAATTGTGGAGACAGGACAGAAAGCTGGCCTTCTGCCCTAGATTTTTACACCGTAGCGCCAAAAGGAAAGACAAAAAGCACACAAGGTGATGTCAGCGTCTGGAATATTTAGAAGACATTCACGTGTGGGTTCCTTCAAGGAGTCCGTCCGGACGGCAGTCCTCAGGGTGGCCAGGGAGGGCTTCCTGGAGGAGGTCACATGTGCCGCAGAGACCGGAGGGGGCCCATGGGAGGCAAGTGGGAACCGCCTGAGAGGGGCTGGGGGCGCCGCGTCCCAGGCCCAGAGTGTCCGGCATCTCCTGGGGGGGCCGGGCGGGCTCTGCCACCTCTGCGGGCTCCCATCTCACACCTAGGTGAGGTCAAGCCGCTGCCCTGCACCGTGAGAAACGGCGAGGCGGCCCCTTCCCGCGCCCGGTTGGCCGCAACCAGGCTGTGAGCGTGGGGGAGCGCGCGCCCCCTGGCGACGGATCTCGGGACTGCGCGGTGACAGCGCCCCGCACACCTGCCTCCCAGAGTTCCAGGTCGGGGCATGGAACTGCAAGGAATGCACCCAGCCATCCACGCCGCCACAGCTGTGTTCCCGACCGTGCCCCACTCGACCCTTCCGCCCCCCAAACCCACCTAACAGCCGACAGATCTGACCTGCTCGGTGCTGAAAACCCCAAACTTTGAAGCATCCTGCCCTCCGTCCCACGTTTTTCTCTCCTCCAATCTCTCAAACCACCCTCAATACCTCCCCCTGGACAGCTATGGGCCCCCCCAACCTGCCTCTATTCCCATTGAACCCCTTGAGCCATTTCCCCTTTGAGCGTCCAGAGGACGCGAGCGAGCGGGGAGGGGCGTGGGAACGAGAGGGGGGCGGAGTTTGGAGTTCGCGCTGGCCTCTGCTTGGAACCTCCCAGGACTCTGCCTCCAGCCACACCAGCCTCATCCCCAGGCATAATTCCAGAGCAGGGCTGAGCTGAGCAAGGCTCTGGAGCTCCTTATGTTTCATCAGGAAAGATCAGGCTAACAAACCTTGCCAACAGTGTGTCTCTTCTATGCTGACCTTTGTGGAGAAGAGGAAGATGGGAATGTACCTTAGAGATTATTTGTATTTGCATTTACAGTTCACTTGACTCTGCAGGTTGAAAAGAGCACCAGGATCTTCCTTTTCCAAGAAGCTTCACATTCAAGCTGAGAAATTGTGAGTCTGGAGGAGTATTGTGCAGGGGGCGGAGACACGCTGACACCTTCCTTGCAAACATCTGGTCATGAATTGAAATCCCTGGGGATCCCACATGAGCCAAATGCCATCAGCAAGCAGTTTCTGGCTGCAGCCACACAGGTGTGTGTGAACAGCAGATAGCAGTGTGTGGCCCGGCTCTGCAACTCCAAAATTGACTCGCAAGCAGCACACCCAGAGAGCATGGAGAACCTCAACTAGAGTGGGTGCGAGCACCAAAATGAAGAGTGCGATACCCAACAAGCTTGTTTTTTTTTTTTTTTTTTTGCTACAGCTCGTGATGCTCAGGGATCACTCTCGGTGGTGTTCAGGGTATCCTATGGGTTGCCAAAAATTGAAGCTGGATCGGCAGCATGCAAGGCAAGCAAGCACCCAGACCGCTGTACTCTCTGGCCTCTAAACAGATTTTTTTTTTTTTTTGCTTTTTGGGTCACACCTGGCGATGCACGGGGGTTACTCCTGGCTCTGCACTCAGGAATTACCCCTGGCAGTGCTCATGCGACCATATGGGATGCTGGGAATCGAACCTAGGTAGGCCGCATGCAAGGCAAACGCCCTACCCTCTGTGCTATTGCTCCATCCCCTTTAAACAGATTTTTAATACTTAAGAACATAAAAGAGAGGCTGGACAGATAGCACAGTGGGTAAGGCGTTTGCCTTGCACGCGGCAGACCCGGGTTCGATTCCCAGCATCTCATATGGTCCCCTGAGCACCGCCAGGAGTAACTCCTGAGTGCAGAGCCAGGAGTAACCCCTGTGCATCCCCAGGTGTGTGACCCAAAAAGCAAAAAATAAAAAATAAATAAAAGAGTATGTAGATAGGGCCAGAGAGATAGTACAGCAGGTGGGGCTCTGTGCATTTCTGGGTCACACCCAGAAGAACTCAAGGGTCACACCTGTAGGTTCTGGGACAGGGAGGCAGGGTGGGGGCTGGGAGTAACCCCATGCCGCGGCTGGGATGGAACAGAGTTGGCAAGCGCTTTAAACCCTATACTCTTTCTCCTACCCTCAATGTCTTTGTTTTGGTTTGATTTTGGGTCACAGCTGGCAATATTTAAGAAATAGTCCTGGCCGTGCTCAGGGGACGGTGATTGAATCAGGGTCGCCCGCGAGTGAGGCAAATGCCCTCCCAGCTGTACTATCGCACCGGCCCATTTTAAGCGTGTAAAATCCTATTTCAGCAATACTTGCGAAGACAAAAAACTCATTATATTAACGATGATGTGTATTATAATACACGATCGCGTCCCTTTCCCGCAGAAGTACTGACGCCTTTCGCCCCGCCCCTGGGGCCTTGCATGCAGGCAGCGCCGTGGCCAGCCCAGCCGCTCCGCGAGGACCCCTCGCGGCCAAGATGGCGGCGCCCACGGGGCAGGCGCGTCGCTTGCTCGGGCTGGCGGCGACCCTGGGCTCGGGCTCCCGTGGCTACCGGGCACCGCCGCCCCCGCGTCGCTCATCAAGACCGTGGTGGCCGGACCCAGACGACCCGCTGACTCCGCAATGGCAGCTGGGGCCCCGCTATGCCGCCAAGCAGTTCGCGCGCCACGGCGCCGCCTCCGGGGTGGATCCCGGCTCGCTGTGGCCGGCGCCCGCGCAGCTGAGCGAGCTGGAGGCGGAGGAGCGCGAATGGTACCCAAGCCTGGCGGCCATGCAGGACTCGCTGCGAGTCCAGCGGCTGGAGGAAGAGCGGAAGCGTCAGGCCAGGTGCGTGCGTGCGTCCGTGCCGTTGTGGGCGCTCCCTGGGTGTGCGCTCCCGGCGCCGCCGAGCTTGCTGAGTGACAGTTCCTGGAGCAAGTTTTTACTGAGTCCCTGCTCTGCACCAGCCTGTGCCCCAAGGGCTGAGGGCTTCTCGGGGTTGCTGATAGCTCTTGTGGGGTAGTGAGAAAAATCCAGTCGGAAGGAATGTTCGTTGAAGGACACGCTCCAAGGATGCTTGGGTTTGGGACGCCTCGGGCCCAAGGGCTGCATGAGAAAGCGGACACCTGAATCGAATGGGCAGCGCACCGCAGGGCAGATCTTTGCGGGTAGACAGGTGAGACGGGCGGGACTGAGATTTGAAGGCGGTGAGATGGGCGGCACCCAACTCCAGGGCAGTGAGAGGCCAGGTCTGGGCACTTGGGTGGTTCTTGGGGGTGACAACAGCCAAGCAGACAGATTGAGGGAGCAGGCCAAGTGTGCTCCAGAAAGCTTCACACTGCCCTCTTAAAGGTAAAAGGTAAAGACCCTCCCATTGATCGTCGATTTGCTCGAGCGGGCCCAGTAACGTCTCCATTGGAGACTTTGTTGTTACTGTGTCTGGCATATCGAATACTCTCGGTAGCTTGCCGGGCTCTCTGAGAGGGGCGGAGGAATCGAACTCGGGTCGGCCATGTTGGCCGCTTGTAAGGCGAACGCCCTACCGCTTGTGCTATCGCTCCAGCCCTCTTAAGCGCCTTTAGAGATGAGGTAATGAACCTGAAGAGCATGGGACTTGTGAGAGTGGAGGGTGAAGCAGGTGGCCCAGAGATTCCTCAGGGCTTGGATCTTTGCACTTTTCCGGTCCTTAAAATGGGGCGGTGAGGGGCTGGAGCAATAGCACGGAGGGTAGGGCATTTGCCTTGCACATGGCCAACCCAGGTTCGATTCCCAGCATCCCATATGGTCCCCTGAGCACCACCAGGGGTAATTCCTGAGTGCAGAGCCAGGAGTAACCCCTGTGCACTGCCAGGTGTGACCCCAAAAGCTCCCCCCCCCAAAAAAATGGGGCGGTGATTGGCATCCACAAAACCTGAAAATTCAAGGACAAGGTCTGGCCAGCACGTGTGTGCGAATAGGGCAACTCGGGGAGGGCTGGCACCAGGGTGACTGCATAGCTCAAGGTCAAGGTCAAAGACAGTGTCTCCTGCCTTCTCTCCCTGTGCCAAAGCCTCTTCCTGACCCATTTCCCCCTATTCTTCCATCTCCACGGAGGAGTTGGGGGGTGGTCTGGGTTTGGGATGTAGTCCCGTGTACCACTGACCGCCCTCTGCCCTCCAGGGAGGCGCTCATCGCCGAGCGCATGGCCAAGATGCCACAAATGATTGAGAACTGGCGGCGGCAGCAGCAGGAGCGCAGGGAGAAGGCAGAGGCCGACAAGGAGCGGAGGGTGCGGCTGCAGGCAGAGGCCCAGGAGCGCCTGGGCTACCATGTAGACCCCCGCAGCACCCGCTTCCAGGAGCTGCTGCAGGACATGGAGAAGGAACAGCGCAAGCGCCTCAAGGAGGAGAAACAAAGGCAGAAGAAAGAGGCGAGGATGGCCGCGCTGGGCATGGGCACTGCCTCTGAGCCAGCAGCCTCCGGGACCTCCAGCTCCTGACCTGTCCCTCCCGCCCAATAAAACCTGTCCACTGAGCCTGTGCCCCACCCTTCTCTCTCCCCCTCTCGACTGGGGCTCTGGGGGGGGGGGTGCGATGGGGAACTAATGAAGGCACAGATGGTAGAGGAGAAGGTGGCTCTGTTTACCAACATTAATCTCCAGTAATTAGTCAATTACCAGGGGGATGCAGCTCGCTAACCCACTGCGGTGATGGTGGAGCATGGACAGGCTGGGGGTGGGGAGGCCCCCGCCCCAGACTGGCACACACAGGCTGGCTTTTAAAACTTTATTCATTTCCAAACCTTCCTCAGAGGCAGGTCTCTGCTGGCGAAAGGGTGTGTCAGCCTCTGGGGGCTCGATGTTACCCACTTCCCCTTCCTAGCAAAGGGATGTGGGCTGGGGGCCAAGGCCAGGCTGGGGAAGGGGCCTGGGCCTCTGCCTGCTCACCCTAGATGGAAGAATTTGGGGCGCTCAGACGGAGGCTGGGGCCTGGGGGGAGGGGAACGCGCAGCCGCCTCTCCATCTGGCTGTGGGGAGCTGGGACAGAGGCCAAAGGGGCCCATCTGTCGCCTCCAGAGCTGCCAGCTCCTCGGAGGATGGGGCAGATGTCTGGCCGGGTCTTTTCAGGCCAGACGGGAACAGGGGCCACTTTTAGGGGTGGGAAGTTGGGGTGAGGATTTTTTTTTTCTCTTAGTTCAGGCTTTTAAGTTTTTTTCCCCACTTCTTAAATAAACGTGTGTGTGTGTTTGTATATATGTATATATATACTTTTCTTTTATAAAACTTTGTGGGGCGGGGGCTGGGCAGGCGGGCCCATCCCCCAGCCATCACTCGTCATCAAAGTTCTGACTCAGGAGGAAGTTGGCAGCCAAGTTCTCGTTCTTCTCACAGGCAAAGTAGGCCTGGATGACCAAGCTCTCGGGGAAGCCCAGGGCCTTCAGCTGTGGAGACAGGCCGGTGAAGGCAGGCCCCCGCACCCCTAGCCTGGCCCCCCTTACCCTCTCTATAGCCGGCCCCCCCTTACCCTCTCTATGGCCTCCTTCTCCTGTGGTGTCACCTGGATGTAGTTCATCTGCGGGGCCTCCTCGCCAATGGCGCCCCCCTCGCCCTCCACATCTGAGAGGTCGGCCAGCTCCCCCGGGGGTTCATTCAGCATCTGGATGAACTGTTCCTGGTGCCGGCTGATTTGCTGAGGGAGCAGGAGGAGAGGGGGCGCTGACCCCGGCCCTGGCTGCCCCCATTCCTGGAGGATTTCCCCGGACTGGCAGCAGGGTAAGGCCCAGGGTCTCTTCTGGGGGGAAGAGGCACACACCTGCACTGCCCTCATGCTTGACACACGCATGCATGCTTTGCTTCCTGGACACACACATGTGCACTTTCCTTCCTGGACACATATGCACTCACACACTTTCCTTCCTGGACCCAGGCACCCATGCTGCCCTGACACACATGGGCACAAGCAACCGCATGGCCCTGATGGGCACAGATTCCTCTGGGCAAGAGCAAAGTCCTGGCAGTGGGGACTTGGCGTGCCCCAGACACGGGCACTGGAGCTGCAAGGTCTGACGGGCCAGGCCTGCCGTCTCCCCGGTGCTCAGACAACCAACCAGGGTCCCCCCATCACCCTTCCAAGCACACACTATGGACCCGAGACCGCCAATGGGGGTCGAGCACTTGCTTTGCACACAGATGACCCTGGTCCAACCCTGGCAGCCACAGGATCCCTCCACGCACTGCCAAGAATATCTGACTACTACTGAGTGCAGTCCCAATACTGCCCCCCCCCCAACTGGAAACCAGCAGATCCTCTGGGTGCTGGGGATGCAGCTGGGGAGCCGAGGGCCTCCCATGCAGGTGGGTGGGGAGCACAGAGCATGGGTGCAGAGGCCCCAGCCGGGCATCTCCTGCAGGCGGCGGGCAGGAGCACAGACCAGTCCTTAAGCGTGTGCCCTGTCATGCCCTGTCCCCCACTGCCCTGTGGCCCGGGGCCTGAGGACAGGCTGGAACCTATGCACTGTGGACCCAGAGCCACTGGATATTTGCTCAACTGCCCCGGCCTGCCCCATGTCAGCAGTCACCGCCCACACCAACAGGAGGTGCCCACCTGCAGGAGCTGTGGGTTCTCCTGGCCCAGCTGCTGGAGCAGGGCAGGCAGCAGTGCTGGGCTCTGTTGGATGACCTGCCGCATGTTCTGGAACTGGGGCTGATCCCGCAGGAACTCCAGGGGATTCTCTCCTGCTGGCGGGAAGATGGGGGGGAGGCGGTCAGGCAGCGTGGATGGGGGCCCTGGGAGTAGATGGGATGGGGGGGGGGGGGCGCTGTCCTGGGCCCTCACCGGCTTCGGTGGCCGGCGGCTCCGACACCTGGCTCTCCTGGACAGATCCGGCTTCTGGCTCGGGACTCCCAGGGATTCCCTGTGGGGCGTCCCCGTTAGTTAAGAGCGTGCGCCCCCACCCCCCGATGGCGGCGCGCAGGCCTCACCGTGAGCAGGTACTCCACGGCCCGGTGCGGGTTGTTGTAGCTGGCCCTGAGGGCGGCCACCACGCGCTCCCGCTCATAGCCCATTGACATGATCTCCGCCAGCATCGTCTCATACTCCGAGCCTGTCACTGCCAAGGGTGGGCCGGGTCAGCAGGGAGCACTGTAGCATCCCCGTCCCCGCTCCCCGCCCTGGGTGCCACCCACCCACCTAGCGTGGATGCCGCATCTTCCTCTCGCCCGCTACCACCTGAAGAGGGAACAGAGCTGCAAATTCGAGAGAGAGAAATCGAACCCAACTCCTGGTGGCCTGCCCGCCCTGGGCCAAGGCTCCCCACTTACCCCGACATGGACTCCGGAGACGTGGCAGGGACTGACTCCTCCGAAGGGCTCTGGTCCTCCCTGGTGGCCGGTGGGGGCTGAGACATGCCGGGGGCAGGGGCCAGAGGGAAGGCAGCAGAGGACTCGGGGGCAGCGGTCGGGGAGGTCTCCGTGGGGACGGACGTGCTGGGGCTCGTTTTGGCCTGGGACACCCAGAAGTAAGGAGCGGACACCATCAGTGCCCCGTATCTGGCCCCCACATCCGGACCCAGCTCGGCCCCACCCTGCTCCTGGCTAATCTCTCTGGGGCACCCAGGCTCTGCGCCCCAGAGCCCTGGCCTGCCGGCCCACCTTGGTCACCATGACAACCACGAAGTTCTTCTCATCGATGCGGTAGTCCCGAATGGGCACGTCGTCGCTCAGGATCTTGCCGGCATAGATGAGCTTCTGGCCAGCCACGGGGAAGGCATCGCGTCCCTTCTCAGCTTCTATCTTCTCCTTCAGCACCTTCACCTGGAAGGTGAGCACGGGTCTGGTCAGGCCACGGCCCGGTGAGGGCCCAAGACTGCATCCAGCAGGCTCGCTGTGGTGAAAGCAAGTCTCTCTGGCCCCCTGCCAGAGATCTGACACTTTTCATGAGGCCCATCCAGGAGCAAACCTCAGGTCCCCGAGTATGCGGGGAAGAGAAGACGACAAAAACACTTTTCCTACTGATGCAAATTATGAAAAACACAGATGACACAGGACTGTCCCCCTCACTCCCTGCTGCCCTTGGCTGGTAGGAAGCATCCCCCTTGGTACCCAGAAGGTGGCGCCTGAGACTTTCAGCGGCAAAAATGAGAAGGATCGTATGCTTTTCAGCGAACGCACCGTTAACAGCGCGCTAGTGACTGTCGCGCCTTGCACCTGATGCCAGAAGAGCCAGCCAGGAGCCTCATTTTGTATGGGGTGAGACGGCACACAAAGTGATTAAGAAACTACAACACCCCGCCCCTCCCCGACCCCCCCCCCCCCCACGTCAATCTGTCAAACAGCAGTGCGGGTCAGAAAAACTCAAGGCCTTTTAAAAATTGTCTTAACCCCCCAGGGTGGACTTCAATGCCGTCCTTTCTCGTGGAATGGCGCAGCAAAGAAAAAATGATCCCATCCAGGGGGTCTTGTCTTAAGCCACTGCGAGTTTGCGGAGGGGTGGGGCTCCGTTCTCCTTCCAGCCACAAGGCAGCGTCACTTTGAACCTGGGGCCCCCACAACAAGCAGAACGCAAAGCGAACCCTGGCTCTGCCGCTATGGGCAGTGAAGAGACAAGAACCGAGGTCCCCCCACCCCGTTCCAGGTCTGTAAACTGGGGAGGAGCGGGGCCAGCCACACGGCCCGACTCCAGAGACGGTTTTGCAGGCGGAGAGGGCCACGCTGCTACGCCCGAGCCCCGCCAAACGTGCCCGTCCCGCCGACACCCGGGCCGGGCTCTGCTCCTTCTCGTCGTGGCTGGCGCACCTCCCGGGCCCTAGCGATCAGGTCCCGTCACCCGAGTCCCGGGGAAGTCGGAGTCCCGGCGCCAGAGTGCGCGGCCCGGTCGGGAATCCGAGCCTGCGTGCGGCTCCGCGCCCCGCGAGGGCGCTGACATCGGAGCCGGGACCTGGCGGGCTCCCCGGGGGTGGGGCCTGGCCCCGAGAGCCGCTCCGGAGCCGCGGCACGGGCGTCCGGGGTCTGCAGCCCGCGACCCCCGGGAGGGCGGCGGAGGATCGGGCGGGTGGGCGGGCTCTGGGCAGGGCCCCGGCGGTTCCGCCCGCCCCGCCCGGCGTCGGGATCCCGGCCCCCCGCCCCCACCCCGCCCCCAGCACCCGTCGCTCCCGCCCCCGGACTCCGGCCCGCCTCGCACCGTCTCGTCAAGCTCCATGCGGATCTTGAAGGTCTGCTGCTGCAGCGTTTTGAGCGTGATGGTGACGGCCATGGCGGGGCCCGAGCTAGCGGCGGCCCCGGGATCCTCACACAACATGCAACTCACGCCGCCGCCATCTTAGCGCCTAGCCGCGCCGCGCGCGCCGACCGCTTCCGGGGCAGGTGGTGCGCGCGCCGACCGTCCGGCCACGTGACCTGCGCGCGCGCCCCGCGCGATCTGAGCCGGGCATGCGCAGACTCGCCGCCTCACCGCCGGAGCCTTGCAGGCGGCTAGGCCAGTGCGCACGCCAGTCACGCCCGTCATGTGGAGCCTGGAGTGATGCCATGCTCGTTAGCGGTGACGTCATGTGGCCCCCTCCCTGTCATTGGCTCTGCTGGGGCTACATTCATTCCCTGACTTTGGTTTCTTTGTTGTGACATTGAAAATTGTTCCTGGGGGCTGGAGCGATGGGACAGTGGGGAGGGTGTTTGCCTTGTACTAGGCCGATCTCTGGCATCCCATAGAGTCCCCGAGCACCGCCAAGAGGCCAGAAGTGATCCCTGAGCATCGCTGGGTGTGACCCAAAAAGGTAAAAAAGAAAAAATCATGTTTCTTGGGATGTACCATTTATTTCATGAAATCTGTTCATGGAGTAGGAAAGCGCTCGGGACTCAGGGGTGTCGGATTTGCATGCAGGAGGCCAGGTTTTATACCGGGCACCCCATGTGCCAGTACCCTGCAGCACCACTGGAAGCCACTACCAGCGGTACTCCAAACCCATCCACACACACCGAATTAGTAAATATTCAACCTTTATTCTCATTCTTTGCATATTCCGAATGAGGTCTGAGGTTGCTTTTGCTTTGGAACCCAACAAATGAGTTCATTTTGATCCAGCTGCTCTTCCCAAATGGGTTGACCTCAGACTGGGGTCATGAAAGGTCACCCACAATTCATAGAAATTCCTAAGTACAAGGGGGCCATCTTGTGGCCTCATTTTTTCATTCCAGGTGGGGGAAAACTAAATTCTGGAAAGAATGTTTCCTCTTTGGGGCTCGTTACCACCCTCCCCCCCACCAAAGATGTGACCTTTCAGGACCTGCTGAAAGTAAATTCTCTGCTTCACTTTCCCCCACTGTGCTCTGGAGAACAGAGGTAGAAGCTTGGAGGCCCCAGGAAAGAACAAGCCATTCTTAGCATTGGTTCTCCAAAGATGGAGCAGGTAACGTAGATTAAGGAGACACCGCACTTTTGTCACTAGAGGCCAGCAACCCCCCTCTCCCCCATCCCAACCATCATCTCTGCAAACCTGCTCTTTCCCACGGCCCACTGAAGCACTCACCAAGCCCTCACAGATGCCTAAGCTAGCTAGGTCCTGCCACTTCCTAAGTGTATCCCTTGAGCCTCCAGGAAGCTCCCTTGGCCCCCACCCAAACGCAGTTGGAGATCTTACCTTCCTCAGCCAAGATGTCCGCTTCAAAATGCAGACAACCTAAGGGCCATTGTCTTTCTTTTTTGCATGTTGGGCCACACCTAGCTATGCTAATACTCACTTAGTGCTCAGAACCACTTCTGGTGGTGCTAGGGGGTGGCTGGGAAGCTGCTGGGGCCCAAACTGAGTGGTTCCACCGTGGACCTCCCCATACTAACTTCTGGATCTTTTTTTTTTTGCTTTTGCTTTTTGGGTCACGCCCAGCAATGCACAGGGGATACTCCTGGCTCTGTGCTCAGGAATTAGCCCTGGCGGTGCTCAGGTGACCATATAGAATGCTGGGAATCAAACCCGGGTTGGCCGCGTGCAAGAGAAGCGCCCTACCCGCTGTGCTATTGCTCCAGCCCCTGGATCTGTGTTTATTTGCAATTCTGGTATTATCAACATCTGCCTCTTCTCCCACTTTTGGGATTGTGGAATAGGGTGCAGTTGGTGAACTACTCAAGAACCTTCGCCTTCTACCTCCACCCCCCCATCCCCCACCGCAAGCCATCTTTGCTTCCCTGAGGCCCATTCTCCCCTGCATGGAGACACAGGAAGAAGACACAAAACTTAATTTAATAGAAATTTTGTTTGTAGTTCTTACATTCTCAGTGTGAGCCAAGTTGGAACCCACCTGCCCCACCCAGAAGTAGCCCAGTCCTGGGGTTGGGGGTCAAAGGGAGGGGGAAGTGGGAAGATCAGAGCTTGGGCCCTAGGAACCCCATTATTCTTCTCAGTGCTGGGGGAGGCACGCTGGGAATACCACCCTCTTTTCCTGCCCTCTGCTGAAATCCAGAATTGGCCCTGGGGCTTCTCCATACCCTCTGCGCCCCCAAGGCTGAAAGGGAGTGAAAGATCTGGGAGAACAAAAAAACCCGGAGATGTCACTCAAGAAAGTGGTGGGTCAGAGGTGACAGCCTGAACAGGGTCAAGACAAAACACCAGTAAAAAAAAAAAAAAAAAAAGATAAAAAAAAAGGGGACAGGAAGGGGGGATGCGTTAAACCAAAATCCACCCCAAATCAGAACCCGCCTGGAAATAAATGAAAGTTCTCCAGTCTCATAGAGACATTATTCGGCGCTGTTTGCTCACGGCGGAGTGCTCAGGCCTTAGTCCAGCCTTGGAGGCAGCAGTGTGGCCCCTACAGCTCGTCCTTGGCCTGGCCGGCGGCGTCTTCCTCCTCCTCCTCTTCCTCCTCCTTGTCATCATCATCATCGTCATCCTTGTCATCGTCATCATCCTTCTCTGCCTCTTCCGCCTCCCGCTTCTTGTCCTCCTCCTCCTCCTTCAGCCTCTGCTCCTCATCCTGTTTTTCCTTCATTTGCTTTTCGGCTTCCTGTGGACATGAGAAACCCCACAGACCTCAGGCCCCACTCCCTCAGCCCTGCCCCGCCGCCCCAAGCCCCGCTGGTGATCCGGCCTCACCTTCGTGGCACCCCACGTGTCAGCCCCAAAATCAGTGGCATACTGCTCATCGTTGGTGATGAGGAAGTTGTCGAAGATGGTGCCAGACTTGACCTGGGAGGGTGGGAGGTACAGTGAGTGGAGCGGTGTGAGTGGCAGGAGCCCCCTGCCTCGGTCCCAGCCCAGGGCATGACGGGTGGCCTGCCACAGAGGGCACCTAGCACAGCAGCCCCTGCTGGATCCTGCCTGTGTGACCTGCAGGGCTTCACCAGGCCTCAGTTTCTCTGTCGAGAGGGACAAACCCTGCTCCCACATTCTCCTGGCTCCGGGTACTGAAGGCAAATCACAAACAGTCCAGTCCCTGGATAAACTTCTCCCTTGGGTCACCCAACGCTCTCTACCAGGGGCATTCCATGAGCTGGGACTGCCACTGGACACTGGGGGGGGGGGGGGTGAATGGGACGGAGACAGAATGTCCATGGGGACGGTCCCCATGCCCAGCGCAGGTCAGGTTTGGAAAAGTCCCACTTCTAAGTCACATGTGATGTGCCTGGGGACCCAAAGCCTGAGGTGTCCCAAGTCCCCCCTCCCCTGCCCCATGACTCTCACCTGCCAGAGGTCCAGACCCAGCACCCCAAAGCTGTCGAAGGCATAGATGTTGCTGTCCGGAGCATACTCGGGGTTGTCGATCTCTGGGTGGATCCAAACGCCCTTATAATCCGGATTGTCGATCTGGCGGGGCTTCCACTCGCCCTGGGGGACAACAGGTCATGAACAGACATTGAGGGAGGTGGTTGCCACACAGTTGCACAGCCGGGCCAGCCGAGGACCCCCAGCTCACCTTGTACTCGGGGTTCTGGATCACTGGTGGCTCCCACTCGCCATCCATCTCTTCGTCCCAGTCCTCTGGCTTTTTGGCGTCCGGGTCAGGGATGTGCTCGGGCTTGTCCCAGTCCTGAGCAGGAATGGGAGGTGGGGGGCAAGATGGTCAGCTTGGGTGCCAGGCACACCGGGGTGACAGAGGCGGCCGGGTCCTCACACCCACCTCCGGCTTGGAGTCCGTAGGATCGTCGATCTTGGCGCGTTCGTCCCAGTCCTCAGGCTTGGCAGCATCGGGGTCCTTGATCTTCTTGGGGGGGAGGAAATCCCAATCGTCCTCCAGGGAGCCCGACTCCACGCGGTTGTTGTCGATCTTCACCTCGTAGGTGTTATCAGGCCGCACGATCAGCGTGTACAGGTGAGTGAACTCATCATCCTGCAGTGGGCGCCCAACAGGGCAGGTGAGCGGCCACGCCCCTCCGCGACCACGCCCCTCCCTCGGCCACGCCCCTGGGGCCCGCAGGGGCGGGGCTCCGTGCGGGCTCCCACCTTGCAGCGGATGTCCTTGTTGATCATCACGTTCTTGCCCTTATAGTTGAAGATGACATGCACCTTCTTGGTGCCGGGGCCACAGATGTCGGGACCTGGGCGGGGATCCGGTCAGAGAGGACACCCGCAACCCCACCCCTCTTCCCTCTTCCCTCTAGGAAGTCCAGGTTCTTAGGCGGCACCCATGTCTATCAAGGTTCCCAGGAGAGACTCAGAGGGCTGGGAAGGTGGGAAAGGGTGAAGCCTGAGGCTGACCTCTGACCCTCGACCCTCCCCCCGCATGGCATCCTGCACTTTCCCACGCTCTGGGCTACAAAATGAGAAATTGCTCCAACTGATCTTTCCAAGCATTTAACAGACATGGGTGTTTTTGGGGGGTGGCCCAGGGGACCGCACAATAGTGCTCAGGGGTTACTCCTGACTTGGGGGGGTCTCCTATGCAGCACCAGGGACCAAACCTAGGTTTGCTCCAAGCAAGCTAAGCGCCTAAGAAGCCTGCCCTATCTTTCCGCGTCCCCGGTCCCCAGGATGAGTCTGAAAACCGCCCTTAAGACGATTTGCTAAAGGGACCCCCTCGGCGTGCCCCTCTAGGGTGGGCAGAACCCCTGGGGCCCCTCACCAAACATGATGTTGTACTCGGAGTCTCCGTGCATGTCCTTCTGGTTCACGTCCTGCGGAAACAGCTTCACGTAGCCGCCCCCACAGTCGATGTTCTGCTCGTGCTTCACAGTGAACTGGATCACCAGGGTCTTGCCCTTGTTGCTGAAGGAGTCAAAGCGGGCAGACAGGGCGTAGAAGCGGGCGTCCTGGCTCGTCTGCAGTCCTGGGAGGAGGATGGGAGGCGGCGAGGTCACAGCTCGGTTTCCATCCACGAGCGATGCCGCCGCTCCTTCCGTCCGCCGCGGACAGCGAGGGGAGGCTTCCTCCAGGAAGTCCTCCTGGAGCTGAGACGACACCCCCACACCCCCACCCCACCCCCCCCCCCCCCGTCGCGTCCCAAGATCTCACCTTTATCTTTCTCCTGGTCGCCGTAGAACTTGCCGGAACTGAGAGCAAATTTGCCATAGTCCGACTTGTGTTTGGATTCCACCCAGCGGTTGGTCCAGCCATCTAGAGGGTTCAGAGCAGGTAAGTCAGTTTGGTAGGGTCGGTCCGTCCCCTCACACCAATCACCCCAGTCCCCTGCCCCCAAGCATCTGCCGAGAGCCACCAACTGCCGGGGTCTGGGAAGTCAGTCCCCTCCAGGTCCACTTCTCTAGTTTGACACTTGGGTGACAGAAAAGACCCTGGGTGGACCCCAACTCCCACCGCGGGAGGCCGCTGCGCCCTACACGCTCCCCAGGGCGCCCCCCGCCAGCGGGTCCCGTCCCCGGGGGCCACCTCACTGGCCCTCGGAGCAGTAATTAGACGCGACAACGCAGATCCGGCTTGGGGGGGGGGGGTGCCGACCGCGTCGTTGGGGCGGTCTCGAGACGGGACCAGGCGTTACCTCCGTCCAAAAACTGCTCTTTGAAGTAAACGACTGGCTCGGCCACAGCCAGGCCGAGGAGGCCGAGCACAAGTGACACGGGTAGCAGCATGGCGGGCCGAGGGGGCGGCGGCGCGCGGACCCTTTAACTCGCTCCACGGGCAGCGGCTCTGCAGTAGGGACAGACGCTGCCGGCGGCCGCGCCCTCTTATAGCCAACCGCCTCTCACACCAACTTGGTCGGATCGCTAGCCCCGCCCTCGGGGCTCTTTCATTGGTCAGTTTCCACGAGTCTTCCTTCTCATTGGGCTGCGGCCGGCTCAGCATGTTGAGATGTGCCTCGGAACGCTGGGTTCCCAGATGGCCGATTTCTATTGGTCGCTTCACCGGCCAATGAGGGTCGACCACGCGTTGTGGGGGACGCCTACCGGCGGGGTGGGGGCCCGCGAGCCCCTCAGCCCGGATCATGTGACCAGACCTCAGCCTCGGCCCGCCCTCTCCGGTGCGTGTCGCTCGGGAACTGGGCGTTTAAAGAACCCGCGCGAGCGCCGGTGTCACTGCGCCGGAACCGCCCGGCCCCGGCCCCTGCCCCCGCCTTCCCTTCCCAGCCCCTCTGTGGGGGGCGATCGGCCGGTCTTCCCCGGCCACTGGCTACACTGCGTTTCGGGAATCCCCACCCTGACGCGCACGGGCGCTGTCACTGCCTGCATAGCCAGCTCCCTCGGGGATGAGACGGGGCGAAGCATGACTGTGGGGATGGCGGGGGGCGGGGGTGGGGGGGAAGAAACTGCGGGGCTTCGCTTTACCCCGTACCCCAACCTCCTTTTCCCTCTCCTGCGGCCCCGGTGGTGTGCCAAATTGCTGTGTATCTCGGGGCTAGTTTCAGCTTCTCTGAAGTCGCTGGGGCTGCTGAGAGGCCTTGAAGAGCGCCCCCAAGTAGCGTTTGCCTGTACAAAATGCTGCCAGAGCTCATAGGGCAGGAAGCCCAGAAGGTGTGACCGGGGTTGCGAGTGGCAGATATATCAAGTTGATGACCGAGCTGCAGCCTCGACTCCGACTCCGGTACACCTTAAATGATCAGGGTTGCTGCTTTGTGGTCACCCACACACAACCTGGCTTTTGCAATTAAACGGCTAAAGACCAGGGGGGTTGCCTAGGGGGCAACAGGATTCCGTTGGGGATGGGGGCGGGGGAGAAGAGGCAGATGACTCAGAAGATATCCAAAGCAGAGAGAGAGGACTAGGAGTCTAGAGGCTTCTGGCCCCAGAGGTATATGATGGACACCCACTTTCCCGGCTACCTAATGCCTGGGATGCAAAAAAGAGGACGAAGAGGCAGGTTGTGAGTTTTGGTTTTTGTTTTTTTTTCAAGCTGAGCACACAGGCCCCTCACTGGGGAATGTGGGAGCAGAGTGAGGAAGAAGGGACATGGGGAACTGGGATAGAAAAGCTGACGAGGGGGTTGCCAATAGTGCTGAGGACCTGGCAAAGGCAAGGATAAACTTCTGTTGCCCCCCCCACACACACCCCAATGCAGTATTCACTGGCATGAAGCCTGCTGACCCCCAGAGGATGAGAGGGGGCGAAGCATGAGGCTGGAGGAATAGTGGGGGGGGAGGTGCTGGCCTAGCACAGCAGCCAATCCGGGGTGGATCCCACATAGAGTCCCCTAAGTGCACTAGGAGCCCACCAGGAGTGGGCTCCTGAACAGAGAGTAGGAGTAAGCCCAGTGGCCCCAATCCTCCTCCAAAAAAAAGCCCCACAAAAACATCTGAGCCATAACTGTGGATGATCCCTGTGTTTGACCCCTGTGCGGGGTCACCACGTGTCACAGAAACATAGGGTTGACTGTGTCCTGTTGACTGTGTCCTGCCTGACTTGGACACTACCCCGTCCTGTGTCCCCTAACCATAAGAGAGAACTTTGAAACCAAGAAGTGTGTGTGTGTGTGTGTGTGTGTGTGTGTGTTTGGGAGGAGGAATTCAGCTATGCACAGTGGTGTTTAGGGCTAATCCTGGCCAACATCAGGGGACCATGTGGCACTGGCGATCAAACCAGTGTTGGCCACATGAAAGGGAAGCACCGTCCCCCTGTCCTACTTCTCTGACCTGGAAGAAGAAATTTAGAAGGATGCGCCCTGAGGGATGGTGCTGAACGGTCAGGATTGGGGAATATTAGAAATCCCATTCCCCAGACTTGACTCTTGTGGGGGTTCAATGGGGCTCCTGGGTCAGGGAAGTGGCTAAAGAGACAGGGTGCAGGTTTCTGCATGGGGGAGTCCCTGGTTCAGTCTTCAGTACCACATGGTTTCCTGAGCACTGCCAGGCCTGCCTCCCCCACAGACCAAATTAGAACTGAGGCACCTGTGGGTCCATCCAGGAAGGGATAGGGAGGCACAGAAAGTTGAAGCCATTTGGTTGAGTGACAATGGGAATTGAACTGGAATGCTTACTTTGGACGTAGGGCTTGGGTTTGATCCCTAGTCCCATGTGCTCCCTCATCGTCTACTGACCAACTTTCCAAACTGGAGCTAGGAGCAGTTCCTGAGCACCGCAGATGCCGCCAAAAGCAAAAATCAAAGAAGGGAACTGGAGAGAGAACACAGCGGGGAGGGCACTTACCTGACAAGCAGCGAACCCTGGTTCCTACCCAACATCCCATGTGGTTCCCTGAGCCCTGCCAAGAGTGATCCCTGAACACAAAGCCTGGAGTCAGCCCTGAACACCACTGGGTGTGGCTCAAAAACGAGTAAATAAATTTGTGACAGTTTTCTGGTAACATATGCAGGGCCTGGAAGTGGTTCAGAGGCCAACATGCTTGAGGCCACGAGTTTGATCCCAGTGTTGCCCACGTGTGCCTGCGATTTCCCCAGGCGCTGCTGTCTGGGACTCCCAGTGCCACAAGAGTGTGTGGTCAACAGTGCATAGCTCGGTTTGTGCAAGGATGTTCTGATCCTGCATTACTGCCCACTTCCACCTCAGAGCACCAGGCTAGGAGGTTGGGATTTGGAACGTTTCTAGTTTCTGAGCCCATCTCTCCCTGATCTCTGTATACTTGGGAGCAAGACACCATCACCCTTAGAGCCAGGAAGACAGTATAGGGTGGACTCTGGCGGTGCTCGTGGCCAATCCCAGTTTGAATCCTCCAGCACCATGTATGATTCCCCCAAGCACCACCAGAAGTGACCCGTGAACATTGAGCCAGGAGACAGCTCTGAGCAGTACACCGGCTATGGTTCAAAAACAAGCAAAAAAAAAAAAAAGGAAAAAAAGAAGACATATCACCCTTGGAGCTCTGCTTTCATGACTGTGAAATGGGGGTTCTATCTACATAAGTTTTTTTGGCGGGGAAGGGAAATGAAACAATGGATCTGAAGCACATAGGCCAGGGCTGGACACAGAGTACAGTTACTTGAAAGCAAATACCAGCAATTTTTTCACCTAGGAGTGAGGGGCCTATCCCAGCCTGCCTTTGAAAATATGCGAGATGAAATCAGTGGAGTGTTTGTCTTGGAGTCAAGAGCGCGCTGCCCTCTAGCGGGAGCAAGAGAGAATTCTGGGTCGGCTGAGAGGACCCGGGACAGCCTGTGTCACATGGCCAGTGCAGGTGGGTGGGGCCGATGAGATGCAAAGCTGTGCAGAGGCTTCTCCGTTTATATGCCGGTCACTGACGACGAGACTTTGGGGCTGGCCTCCCAACAGTGTGTCCAAGTATCCCATTAGTGTGGTCCGCCCGAACTTTTTAAGTGCCTTAAAACTTGATCTCAGGGGCTGGGGAGAGCTCAATAAACTTACTGAGTGATTTGCATGCAGGAGGCCAGGGTACAAATCCCAGTACGGTCCCTGAAGTCCAGCAAGAGTAACAGTCGTTCAATCCAGCCGGCATAGTCTCCCAAGCATCACTGGGTGTGACTCACAAACCAAATAATTGTTTATCAAGCTGTCAATCTCTCCTCGAGGATATTTGACCTCTCTTACCGGCTGCACACCACTAGCTGTGTAGGACCCGGGCGAATACAGAGTGTCCCCCGCCCTTCGCCAAAAATCGCCACACTCAAGATGACGACGACTGCTCCTTGCTTCACAACTCGCGCCACACTCAAGGTGGAGGCGCTCTACGTCACTTCCGATTCCGGTGCGCGCCGGCTTTTCCGCCACACACTGAACGCGCTGGAAGCAGCCATGGCGGACGGTCCGCTTTCCGAAGTGCTGCTGCGGCGGCTGGAGGCGGCGGATGGCGGGCTGGACAGCGCGGAGCTGGCGGCTGATCTGGGCGTGGAGCACCAGGCCGTGGTGGGCGCTGTGAAGAGCCTGCAGGCCCTGGGCGAGGTGAGTCCGGCGCGTGACGCCTCCTTTCTCTCTGGCCATTTCCCCCACCTCCAGGCCCAAGCCTAAGCCCCCGCGGGTGTCGTCCGCGGTGATTGCAGGTGTCCAGGCCGGTCTGCACCGGCGGGGAAGCCGCCGCGAGCGAGGGCCAGCGGACACGACGTTCTTAGCGCGTGAAACGTCTATCGAGGCAGGGGCAGCCGGCGGGGAGGCGGCTACAGGGCCGAGGGCCTACGGCTGCGCGCGCGGAGGGGGATCCGGGGAGATTCTCCAGTAAGCCCGGGGCGGGGGGCAGCCCAGACACCCAGAGATGACGGCGCACCTGCAGGGACGGAGAGGAACTGGTGAGCGCGCGGCCAGTCTCTGCCCCGAGGGGGCGGGGTTGGGTGCGGAGAGAGCTTTGGGGTGCAGGCGCATCTCACCTTGGGGAAGGACTGGAGAGGCTCAGGAAATGGAATAAAACACTAAAACACCAGGAGCTCGACGGAAGCCCAGTGGGTGTGGCTTTTGTTCACTTTTTTTTAATTGGGGGGGCCGTTTGGGGGAGGTCACACCTAGAGGTGCTCAGGGCTGACAGCTGGCTTAGTGTTCAGGGATCTCTCCCGAAATGCTTGGCGGTGGCAGGAACAGGGACTGACCATAGGATCATATCCAGTGGCAGGATCTCACAGGCGGCCACATGCAAAGCATGTGCCAGAACTCCTGTCCTCTCTCTCCCTCCTGATCTCACTCATGCAAGGAAGGTGACACAGAGACTCGGGACAGGGTTCTGAGGGGTTCTCCTGCTCCCCCCAGAACTCACTGGACTTCTCTGGGCTTTTGAATTTCTCGAAACTCATGGCTTGGGCCGCATGCTGATCATTTTTTGTTTTGGGGGGGCCACACTGGCCGATGCTCAGGAGTTACTGTACTGAGGAATTAACTCCTGGCAGTGCTCGGGTGACCATACGGGGTGCCAGGGATTGAACCTGGTGGGCAAATGCCCTCCCCCTCCTGGACTGTCACTCTGGCCTCCATGCCAGCCTTGGCCTTTCTCACCCCAGCTGGCTCTGCTTCTAAGTGCTGCACTCCTTTTCGCCGCTTTGGCGGGAGTTGCTAGAAAGGGTGGGCAATTCCTAGTGGAAAATCTGCTCGAGGGGGTAATGTGAAAGATACATGAGCAGGCACAGAAGGAAATTGCTCCTGTGGAATACAAAAAGAGCAATGAGGGAACTGGCAGGGCCCTGGGAAAACAAACCCTCAAAACAACCACAGAACGAAGGATACTAAATTGCAGGGTGGGGAAAAGAAAAAATTGCAGGGCGGGGAAGGGGGGGCAGGAGAAGGGACCCAGGAACAGTGGAGGGGTGCTGGTTACTCTGGGGGCGGGTGGGGATGCAGACCCGAGCACTGTAATAGGCTACCCGGAGAATCGAAACAAAAGTGAAATGATGGGTAATGAAAGCAAGATGGAAAGGAAGACGGAGATCTTTCACACGTTCATAAGCCACCCGAAGTATTCATCCTGTAGAGCCAGAGAGAGAGCACAGCTAGTAGTGTGGCCGACCTGGGTGCGATTCCCACCGCCCCATGTGGTCCCCCCGAGCACCCTCAGGAGTTGTTTGGTTTGTTTGTTTTGTTTTGTTTTGCTTTTTGGCTCACACCGACGATACACAAGGGTTACTCCTGGCTTTGCACTCGGGAATTACTCCTGGCAGTGCTCAGGGGGACCATATGGGATGCTGGGAATTGAACCAGGCCGGCCATGTGCAAGGCAAATACCCTCCCTTCTGTGCTATCACCCTAGCCCCCCAGGAGTGATTTCTGCATGCAGAGCCAGGAGTCAGCCCAGAACACCGCTGGGTGTGGCTCAGAAATAAAAATTTATCCAGTGCTGTAGTCTTGCTTTATTTCCAGCCCTCAGAGCCGTCTCCAGCCCTGGGCCCCAGACTGCAGTCCCGGAGAGGGCTATCAGCTCTGATCCCAGTCCTCACCCCTGCCTCCCCTCCCCCCGTTTTCTTGCAGGTCATCGAGGCCGAGCTTCGTTCTACCAAGCGCTGGGAGCTCACAGCCGAGGGCGAAGAGATCGCCCGGGAGGGCAGCCATGAGGCCCGTGTGTTCCGCAGCGTCCCCCCGGGGGGCCTGGCACAGAGCGAGCTGATGGTAGGGGCTGGGGCGCAGAGGGGGGAGGGCAGCCCCGGCGCACCCTCTCACGACAGCTTTGCTCCCCCAGCAACTGCCCAGCGGCAAGGTGGGCTTCAGCAAGGCCATGTCCAATAAGTGGATCCGCGTGGACAAGAGCGCAGCGGACGGGCCCCGGGTGTTCCGCGTGGTGAGCCCCAGCCTCCGGTGGGCGGGTGGGCAGGGAGGCTGGGGTGTAGGGTGGCCCTGGTGTCACCCCCTTCATCGCGGCGTGGCAGGCGGACAGTGTGGATGATGAGGTTCAGAGGCGGCTCCAGCTGGTGCGCAGCGGGCAGGCCGAGAAGCTGAATGAGAAGGAGCGGAGCGAGCTGAGGAAGAGGAAGCTGCTGACAGAAGCGTGAGTGGCCGTGCCCGGGACACCTGGGCCCCTGGGGCTCCCGCGCCTCTGCTCCACGGCCCTGATAGAGGTCTTCTTGTGGTCCGCTGGAGAGAGGACAGTGGGAAGTCTCTGGCCTTGCATGCGGCCGCCGACTGGGGTTCAGTCCCCAGCACCACATGCAGAAGGGTCCCCTTAGCACCGCCAGGGGTCAGCGCTGAGCACTGCTGGGTGTGGCCCAACAGCTATCCAGAATAACCCTTCAGGGGCTGGAACGTTAAAGCAGTGGGTAGGGCCCTTTTGCTTTTTGGGTCACACCCAGCGATGCACAGGGGTTACTCCTGGCTCTGCACTCAGGAATTACTCCTGGGAATGCTTGGGGGACCATATGGGATGCTGGGGATTGAACCCGGGTCAGCTGTGTGCAAGGCAAATGCTCTACCAGTTGTACTATTGCTCCAGCCCTAGGATCCTTAATTTGCTCACGGGTGACCCGGGTTTGATTCCTGGCACACCCCATAGGGTCTCCCGAACTTGCTAGGAGTGATCCCTGAGCACCGCCCCAAAAGTAAACAAATCCCCGAATAAACGTCTGATCAGTGGCCCCTGGCAGCCACCCTCTGTTCTGGGTCCCTGAATAGTCATGCGGAGGTTCTCAGGAAGGGTAAGGAGCAGGGACACAGGTGACCGTGTCACCAGAGAGGCATGGCGGCAGCAGGATCTGCGCAGGGTCAGTGACCACACTAAGGCCCCACTCTGGCCCCAGGACCCTGAAGACCTACTGGGTGAGCAAGGGCAGCGCCTTCAGCACCAGCGTCTCCAAGCAGGATGCAGAGCTGAGCCCAGAGATGATCTCCAGGTAGGTGGGGGTGCCCCCAGGGCTGGAGCCAGCACAGGCCGGGGATGTGGGGGGGTCTGGGCTGCCTGCTGGGCCCTGACCCTGCCTCCCAACCCCCAGCGGCTCCTGGCGGGACCGACCCTTCAAGCCCTACAACTTCGCGGCCCGGGGAGTGCTCCCCGACAGCGGCCACCTGCACCCGCTGCTGAAGGTCCGCACACAGTTCCGCCAGATCTTCCTGGAGATGGGGTGAGCGTGGGATCTGCAGCGGGTAAGCGCGGTGCAGGGCAGTCACAGGCGTGGGATGGGGCCGTCAAGCCTGTGTCCCCCAGGTTCTCTGAGATGCCCACTGACAACTTCATCGAAAGCTCCTTCTGGAACTTTGACGCGCTATTCCAGCCACAACAGCACCCGGCACGGGACCAACACGACACCTTCTTCCTGCAAGGTGGGGGCCCCACCCCCCTCCAGCCCTTCCTGCAGATCCTCAGAGGCCTGCCCGGTCCTAGAGTGCTGACTCTGCAGGGGGCGCCCCATCACTTCTTCACCCCTTGGCCCCTAGAGCAGTTGTGGGCCTGGTGCTCACTCAAGAAAGCACCCCTCACCCCCTTACCCAGGGGGTGATGGGGTACAGTCAGCCCAGTATTGAAGAGGGTCAGGGCACTTCCCACAGTGCTCAGTTCAGCTGTGGGCCTCGAGGTGCTTCAGCTCAAGGATGCTGGGATGCTTGGGGACCCCTCAGGAACACCCTTTTAGGGTTGCACCCACGGCATCGCGTGCAAGGCCTGTGTATCCGCTCAGCCTTATCCCCACCACCTTGCTTTGAGGCTGTGGCACCTGCAGTGGCCCTGGGTGAAAGGCTGGTGTTGGGTAGCAGCCATTCAGCAGAGCAGGTGCCCGTGGCAGGGTGTGGGCTGGACGAGCAGGGTCAGCCAGGCTGCTGTGACCCACAGACCCGGCGGAGGCCCCGCAGCTGCCTATGGACTATGTCAACCGGGTCCGGCGCACGCACTCGCAGGGGGGCTACGGCTCCCAGGGGTAAGCGTGGCAGGCCGGGGGAGTGGGGCGCGGGGCGCTGGGGCATAGGCGCTCAGTACACTCTGTCTCCTAGGTACAAGTACCCCTGGAAGGTGGAGGAGGCCCGCAAGAACCTGCTGCGTACACACACCACCTCAGCCAGCGCACGCGCCCTCTACCGCCTGGCACAGAAGGTACGTGGCCGGGGGCTGGGGGGTGCTGGGGCCGGGGGGTGGCTTTCACCCCCCACTGACTAGCGCCCTCCTCCCCGCACCCTCAGAAACCCTTCACACCCGTCAAGTACTTCTCCATCGATCGCGTGTTCCGCAACGAGACCCTGGACTCCACGCACCTGGCCGAGTTCCACCAGATCGAGGGCGTCGTGGCCGACTACGGCCTCACCCTGGGCCACCTCATGGGTGTCCTGCATGAGTTCTTCACCAAGCTTGGTGAGCCGGGGCTGGGGGTGCCGCCGCCAGGGGCTGGGGCCGGGGTTCACGCCACTGCCTCACCTCTTCCTCCTCCTTCCCCTCCGCCCAGGAATCACGCAGCTGCGCTTCAAGCCCGCCTATAACCCCTACACGGAGCCCAGCATGGAGGTGTTCAGCTACCACCAAGGTCAGAGCAGGTGTTCCCGGGGCCAGGGAAGGGGGCACCCACAGCCCAGGGACTCCTCACCCCAGCGGCCCTGTCTCCCTGCCCCCCCCACCTCAGGTCTGAAGAAGTGGGTGGAGGTCGGTAACTCGGGGCTCTTTCGCCCTGAGATGCTGCTGCCCATGGGACTCCCTGAGAATGTGTCCGTAATTGCCTGGGGCCTCTCGCTGGAGCGGTGAGTGATGGACCCCAGGGACCTGTGGGGACCCCATTTGCCAGATCAAGACGTAAATCCAGCATGTAGGATGCTGACCTGGCTCACGTCTAGCCCAGGGCTGATCCCTGGCATCCCTTAGGATCCCCCCAACCCGCCAGGAGGGATCCTTGAGGACAGAGCCAGGAGTCAGCCCTGAGCACCGCTGGGTGTGGCACCCCAAAAAGAAAGAAATGCAGCCAGGGATGGAAGAGGGATAGGTCACCTGCCCTGCAAAGGGCTGTGCCCGGTTTGATCTCCAATACCTGCCAGGAACAGCCCCTCAGCATCGCCTGGGGTGGCCCCAAACCATTGGAGAACTCGGTGTAGGAGCCGGGGCCATTGTACAGCAGGGAGGGCATTTGCCTGGCACGCAGCCAACCTGGGTTCAATCCCCAGCGCCGTATAGGGTCCCCTGAGCACTGCCAGGTATGACCCCAAAAAAGAACAATACAGTTAAGCCTGTCGAGGTCCTGTGGGCTTCTCAGCAGTGGGGGTGCAGGAGCCTGGGGGCCTGGGCACCTTGGTAAGGGCCTCTAGAGGCGGGGAGGAGGGGACAAGACAGTGCAGGCCCTGCAGGGTGGGGGGCCGAGGCTGGCACCACGGACTCTGATGGGAACGCGTGTGGTCCTGCTTGCAGCCCCACCATGATCAAGTACGGCATCAACAACATCCGGGAGCTGGTGGGCCACAAGGTGAACCTGCAGATGGTGTATGACAGTCCCCTGTGCCGCCTGGACACGCCTGCACCCCCACCCACACAGGCAGCTGCCTGACCCCGCCCCCCCAGTCCTGCAGCCTGCCCCCGATGTCCCTACCCGGCACCCCTGGTATCTGAGGCCTCCGTGAGGCCATCCCTGGCTCCTTCGCTCCCATTCAGGGGGCAGCTGTCCTGTGTCCACCTCTGGGGGCGGGTCCGGGGGCTGCTGCCCCTCATCTGGTGCCTTTTCTTGGGGGTGAAGATGGGGGCAAACCTGGAGGGCAAGGGGTACCTCAGGGAACTGGAGCCTGGGCCTCCTGGGACAGTCAGCTCCCTACTGTGGCCAGGTGTCTCCCCCATGGGAGGGGGCCATGGGGCGGGTTCAGAAGTGACTTCTCAAAGCCCCCGCCTGCCCACCCCCCAAATTTTTCGTTTTGGTTGAAAGCACTTGCCTGGGGCTGATCCTGACAGCAGTGTTCGGGGGGCAGCATTGGGGTACAGAAGGCACAGAGATCTCTCCATCTCCCTCATCATCCACCTGCACCCCAGAGCAGCCCCAGGCACCGCAGGGACCACTGTGCCGGACCCCTTTCCTGGCTGTGAGTTTGGAAAACAGGGCCAAATGGGTTCACCACCGGCCCTGTGAATCTTGAGCCCCCTCCACCCCCCACCACTTCCGAAGCTGCTCCAGAAACATCCTGCTATGTCTCAGTGGGGACAGCCCCTCCCCAATACCCAGCCATGCGGCCACGGACACCCATCCCCCTGAGTTCCTTTGGTGGCCCCAGGAGAGACTCCAGCAGTAAGTGCGCAGGTGCTGTGAGCGGGGGAGGCACGTGCAGACACACCAGGGAGATGCTCCAGGAAGGGGGACGGATGGCATAAAAACCCCAAAGGCACATGTGGGTGGAACCCCCCCAGCCCCAGCAGATGGAGCATGAACTCTGGGTCTTTCCCCAGCTAGATCTCCTGTCCTCTGGATTTAGAAACCCTGTGGGCTGGCCCTAGGTCCTCTGACAATAGAAGCCCCACTGGGGTGCCCCACCCCAACGGGTTTGGTGTTGATCATCCCCCAGAATCAAATCGTTTACCTCTGACATATGTGATGTTAATAAGGAGATGTGCTTTATTTTGTGTGTGTTTTCATGTCATAAATCTGCTCCGGAAATGGCTGCCTCTGAGTGGTTTGTGCACTTACCAGTTTCTACCATAAGTTAGAAAAGTACTGTTGTTTTGGGAGGTTCACACCTGGAAATTCTCAAGGCTCTGTGCCCAGGGGTTACTCCCGAAAGGGGGGAACATATGGAGGGCTGGGGAGTCGAACCGGATCAGCTGCATGCAAGGCAAGCACCCTACCTGCTGTGTTATGCTGGCCCTAAAGTGTTGGTTTTTGTATGGGGGGTCACACTGTGGTACTCAAGAATCACTCCTGGCAGTGCTCAGGGGACCATATAGGATGCCGCTGTCGAACCTGGGTTGGCTGAGTACAAGGCAAGCACCTTACCTGTTGAACTCTCCAGCCCAGTATTTTGCTGACAGGGCACTCCTGGTGATGTGCCTGAAAGAACGGGGATCACCAAGCCTGCATCTGGCTCAGCACTGGGCCAGAATGCCAGGATGGATTGGGGGGGCAGGAGCTAACCATTTCCTCTTTTCCTATGTGCCCCCTCTTTTTTTTTTTAAGTAAGATATTTTATTTGGAGGGTTTGAAGGGAAGGAGGAAGACAAAGTCGGACAGAATGGAGAGTATCGTGCTCAGGAGAGAACATGAGTTTCTCTGAGGGTGGCGAGAGCCCCTACACACACCCCAGCATTAGACAGGAAAAGCATGAAAGTACACATCTCAAGTGGGGAGATGCAGGGGCTGGAGCAATAGCACAGCGGGTAGGGCGTTTGTCTTGCACGCGGCCAACCTGGGTTCGATTCCCAGCATCCCATATGGTCCCCTGAGCACCGCCAGGGGTGATTCCTGAGCACAGAGCCAGGAGTAACCCCTGTGCATTGCCGGGTGTGACCCAAAAAGCAAAAGAAAAAAGGGGGGGGGAGATGCAGGCGACAGGTGCTTGGCCACATGGGGCAAGCAGCACATGGGTTCGGGTGCCCTCCCCCTCCTTTCTTTTTGCTGTTGTGGGATTATATTTGCAATCCCCTACTACCCTTACTACTGAGGATAGGTGAGGCCAACTGCAGAAGGACTGGACTAGCGATTCAGTGATGAATGCATAAACTGTCTCAGCCGTGACAGGCGGGTAACAGCCCATGCAGAGGTTTGACCTGAAACATTTCTTGGGGCACAGCAGATGAGGATTGAATGAACAACGGAAGCTCTGGTGGATTATTCCTGCCCAGCATGCTGGTGGCTCTGGGTTACTTCCTCAGTGTAGCCTCCATCCACCAAAGCTGTCCTGTCAGGCTCCTTTTTACTTTTTATTTTATTTTTGTATTTATTGAATCACTGTGAGAACAGTCACAAAGCCTTTCAGTTCAAGTCTCGGTCATACAATGATCAAACACCCATCCCTTCACCAGTGCACATTTTCCACCGCCAAGAACCCCGGTATACCCCCCTCCCACCCACCCCCACCTGTGTGCCAGATTTTCACTTTACTCTCTCTACGTAGATCACATTCAATATTATGACAAAAGACCCAACATTATTATTTGGAATTTTCCCCAACACTCAGACCTGCCAAAAAGACATCATTAGATAATTTGTTTTCTATTGCTGATAATTAAGAGCAGATGATGTCGTGTGGCCACAATAGCGGCCACGCGAATTTGTATTTCTGATATTTTAGTAATAAATCTAGAGGGATTACTGGTAAAAGCCCCTGGGTTCCGAGATTGGTTTGTGTGCTGCTGGGATCATGGTCGCCCAGAAGCCAGGGAGGCATTTGAGGGTGGCAAACCAGAGCATTGTCATAGCGAGGAGCAGGGCTGATTCCACCCCCCTTCCCACAAGGCCCCATGTGCCTCGTCAATGCAGTCTCATACCTGCCTGTTCATTAGGCTCTAAAAGATGATGGCCACCATGCTGCCACCGCAAGGGGGAACAGGTGGAGGGACAGACACCCTTCCCCTCCCAGGGTGGCATACTGGCTCCTTTTAAAAAAACAAACTATACAGGGCTGGAGCAATAGCACAGCAGGTAGGGCATTTGCCTTGCACGCGGCCAACCCGGGTTCGATTCCCAGCATCCCATATGGTCCCCCGAGCACTGCCAGGAGGGATTCCTGAGTGCAAAGCCAGGAGTAACCCCTAAGCATCGCCGGGTCTGACCCAAAAAAGAAAAAAAAAAGCTATAGGACAGCAGGGAGGGCGTCTGCCTTGCACTCAGCCAACCCGGGTTCAATCCTCACCATTACATCAGATCCCAGGAGTGACCCCTAAGCCTCAATGCATGTGACCCAAAAAGAAAAGGCCCAGGGAATGGAGCGATAGCACAGCAGGTAGGGTGTTTGCCTTGCACACTGCCGACCCAGGTTCGATTCCCAGCATCCCATATGGTCCCTCAAACATCACCAGGGGTAATCCTGAGTGCATGACCCAGGAGTAACCCCTGTGCAACACTGGGTGTGACCCAAAAAGAGGAAAAAAAAAGCCCAAAGGGCTGGACTGTGGACTGTGGAGTGCGCTCGCACAGGAGGGGGTCCCCCCTGAAGAGCCGCTGGGTTCTGAGTAAAAATTAAGATTGGGAAGATGGGTCCAGAGAGAGTTCAAGGGTGACAACCTTGCATCCCACCCACCCAGTTAAAATCCCTGGCACCTTAGGGCCCCTCAAACATGGGGTCACACCCCCAAACAGCCAGTAGGCTGTGGCCCCCAGGGTGGCTCAAAGGATGGACCCTGGCCTCCTGCACTGGCTATCCTAGCATCCAGCTGTGCATGGCTCCCAGCACCACCAGGTTCGACCAGCAAAAAGGAGCAGCAGATTCTAAGAGCTCTTCCCTGCCCACCCAGAAGCCAGGGTGCAGGGGTCTCCTCGCACATGAACTCCGATGTCCCCGCCCCCACCACGCTCACCCAGGTGCAGCGCAGGCGCAGTAGCACGAGGGCCCTGCCTAACGGCCGCTTAAAACGGCCTCAGGGTCTCGCAGCACCGGCAGCTTGAGACACTAGGCAGTTCCCAAGTGGGGCACGTGCGCAGCATCACATGCTGGGGTGGGGGCGGGGCTATTGGAGGGGCGGGGCCGGGCATGCGCAGAGGGTGCCTCGGCGAAGGCGGGAAAGGAGCCGATGGAGCGACAGGGAGTAGGCGGCGGCGCGGGCGGTCTTCGCGCGAGTGGTCGTCGCGGCGGTGGAAAGGGTGGTTGGCGGGAGGAGAAGTGGGTCGGGGACGGCGAGGGGGCTCGGTGGGGAACATCCACCGCCTCGGGCAGATCCCAGCCCGTCAGGGGCCCCGATGTCAGCGACGGCCTCTGACTGACTGACGGGCCGGACTCGCCGGTGAAGCCCGGGGTGGCCCGGCCCGCACGGGGCGTGCGCGGCGCCGGCCCCAGCGAGGCTCACACGCCGGCGCGCGCCGTGTCTTTTCTTTTTCCCCCCCCGTCTCTTCTCCTTTCTTGAAGGCCTCGAGCCGCCGACACCCGTTCGGAGCCCAGGGCCCCCCGGTGCCCCTCTGCAGGCCTCCCCGCCTCCGTCCGGCGCTCCAGGCACTGGGGGCACCCTCACCCTCACCCCGCCCAATCTCCCTCCCCTCCCAGTCCTGCCACCCCCCGGGCCTCATTCCTGGGGGTGGGGGGTCCTGCCCTGCCAAGACCCCATGGCCAGCGTTGGCTGTGCCCGCAGGTGGACGGGCCTCTTGTACTCGGCGGGGACCTGGAGCCCCTTCTCGGGGCCGAGAGCCGGGACCTGTCACCTGAAGATGAGAGCCATGAAGAGGAAACAGTTCGGGTTCCCACTCGGTGAGGACGCCACCCCCAACCTGAGGGGGGAGGGCTCAGATCAAATCCCCCCCCAGATCCCTGGAACCCACTCTTCCCATGAAGTCTTCCTCAAGGCTCCGTTTCCAGGTGCATCTGTTGGCCCCCCCTTTTCTTTTTTTTTTTTTTTGCTTTTTGGGTCACACCTGGCGATGCACAGGGGTTACTCCTGGCTCTGCACTCAGGAGTTACTCCTGGCAGTGCTCAGGGGACCATATGGGATACTGGGAATCGAACCCAGGTCGGCCGCGTGCAAGGCAAACGCCCTACCCGCTGTGCTATCGCTCCAGCCCCTGGCCCCCCCTTTTCTATGGCTGGCTCTCCACCTAGAGTCCTCTAGACTGAGCTCAGGCATAAGAAGATATCAGGAGGGGTTGAGGCCAGGGATGGGGCAGCAGGTAGAGAGGGTAGAGAGGCCTGTTTCAATGGGAGGATGAGGAAAGGCTGTCTGGAGGAGTTGAGGTGAACTGTGACAGCTTAGAAAGCTCCCAGCAGAGAAACAGCAACCAAAGATAAGGGCAGAAGGGAGGAGCCAGGGTATGGCTTCCATGGGTGGCCACCCTACCCCCAACAAAGATAGAGATCATGATCATCCTCAAATAGGTAAGAGGACCACCATAGGAAAGGCGAATGGTTGAAGAGAACTCAGAACAAATGTTCATCATGTTTTCTGATGTTGCCTGGTCGGGGGGTGGGGGGGCAGAGGTGACGCAGCTGATAACCTCTGGTGGGAGCAGTGACATCATGATCTCTGAGACTTCCTAGAGAGAGGTTAGGGGCGACATGCCTAGACCTCCATATTCAGCCATGTGGAGAATGGATTGCCCAGGCCAGGTGTGGAAGCAGGATTGCAGCACCTCAATGAGGATCTTTTCTTTTTTGTTTTTGAACCACACCCAATGGTGCTCAGGGGTGGGTTTGGGGGACCCATATGAGGTTCTGGGGATTGAACCTAGGTCAGCTGCATGCAAGGCAAGTGCCCTGATTGCTGTATCATCACTTAGGGCCACAGCTCTGCCTTTTGGTGGCCACAGCAGGGTCTGTCACAGATAGTATCATACAGTTGTGTGACTCCCATCACTGATTGTCCTGTCCTCCGGGTTCGTCCAGGTTGAGACGCATGTCAGAGTCACATTTTAGATTCTGCAGCATCCACCTCCTATGTATCCACCCTTAGGTCACTATCCATCAGGTTTCCACCGAATGTTTTCTTTCCTCAAAGTGGAATCCTGTGAGGCTTTCTGAGTACA